GGGATGTTGCTACAGAGAGATGCCAGCAACCCACTGCTTCTCCCTCTAAATGTTGCTTCCATCCAATACTGCAGGATTCTAAAGTTTGTTTCAAGTATGAACCATGCATATGGGGGGGGGGAGAAACTGGATAATGGGTGACCTTGCACTGGAAAACAAGACTGCAGGATTCTAAAGCTTGTTTCAAGTATGAACCGTGCATATGGGGGGGGAGAGAAACTGGACAATGGGTGACCTTGCACTGGAAAACAGAGCTCTTGGAGGAAGATGAAAGCATCTTTCCCTTGTTCTTGTGGCTTCTCTATCCATTTGGCCCTATCAACATTACACTCACACCAAGTGGTAACGCACACAATGTACAGGAAAGATCTTTCCAGAGAATTATGTGGATGTCTCTTGCCTGAAGAGGCCTCCTCCCTATCAACATTACACTCACACCAAGTGGCAACGCACACAATGTACAGGAAGGATCTTTCCAGAGAATTATGTGGATATCTCTTGTCTGAAGAGGCCTCCCTTGTTTTAAAGGGGAAACCAATTTTATCCAGAGACAGCAGGGGAGACCTTTTGGACTGAAGAGGCAGGTAGGCTTCAGGGTGAGTATCTTAACTTCCAGTTCATTATTCTCCAGTTCATTAATTTACAGGATTTGCTGGATGTGGAAGCCCCAGACAGCAGATGGAGCAGCCTTGAGGACTTGGTTTCTGACTGCTCATCTGCTTTAGAAAAGTTAATCAGCTGAGGGATAGGAAGGCGTGCCCTGGTTTAGCCCATATACACCCACAGGCTTCCCCTCTACATTAGAGCTAGGGCAACGGCAAGTGGCAGATGATTTATGCCCAGTTTTCTAGCTCCATCACTAGAAAGACTGCTGGCGCTTGGCCAACCTTATTTCAGCTAGCATGGTAGGTGTCTTACACCCAGTTCATGCATACAATAAGGAAAGGGAGCTCCTGTATTCAAAGACAGTCTACCTTTGGAATGAGGATAGGACAAAGGTATTGCTTGGAACCTTCCTGAAGAGACCAGGCTGGCCACAGCTGGCCTGGAAACAGTCCAGTCTAGCAGTAGTTGCCTTAAGATTTCATGTTCTAATCAGTTGTGTGGGTTATTTCTCCTCATCTTCTGGTGGCACCTCCTAATCTTGCCAACACGAAGACAGAAGAAGAGTCAAGCCTTTGGATATGTTAGGCTTGTCTTTCTCCTATAGTATAAGAAAATGCCAACCTCTAAGAACTAGTGTCTGGGCTGCAGCACATTCTTCACTGCAAAGTGATATATGGGAGGTGCCAATGGATTCTGATAAGTACCAAAGAGGAAGAGGGATTTCACCCACCCCTTGCCAAATGCTTTTCCTTCCAGATATTCCTAGCTCAGCACCATTTCCCCTCCTGCTATACAGGAGGGTCAGAAGTGTGGGAACCTTCACTCAGGTAAGCCAGTGACATATATGAATGTAGAACATAGTTCCCAGAATCTCCCTGCTACCATGACCCATAGAGTTTGATTTTTGCGAATTGTGTTCCAAAGAGCATGGAGGCTATTTTTACATATCAGAAACTATTGCATGAATATAGCTGCAAATGAGGTTTTCCCCCCTCATAATCTGCTGCAAGAATGTTACTGTCCCAATAGCCAAGCTGAGTGGCTCAAGTAGATGGGCTAAGCAAAATGTCTTCCATGGGATTGATTCTTCCGAGGGGCTGATGTGGAATGTACCTGTGATAGTAAAATTAAATACTTTTACTAAGTATAACACATAAATGCACACACATTCTGTACATGAACACAACAAATCTTAAGCCTGGCTGGATAGTTTGGCTGTGGAGCCAGAGGTTTGGGGTTTGACTCCCTACCAGGTCTTGTAGGAAAACAGCCAGCCTGAGTGGCCTTGGGTATGTGTACATTTCTGTTTTAGGAACAAGCAGTAGGGGCCATGTGGGTCCCAAGATAAAAAAAGGATCACCCTCTCTTGCATCTCTGTTAACAATCTAATCTCTTTGGATTTGGGTTGTAATTTTGCCTTCATTCATGGCAACACTGGTGAGCAGTGGGGCACATGGCAAGTCCTATTTATTAAAATAGTGTCGGCAGCATAGAATGAGAAGATTACTGCAATTTCTAGGAAAGAGAAACTCACAGGAAAAATTATCCAAAGGATTTAGGAAGAGGCAAAAGAGAAAACAGTCTGTTTGATTTTGGGCACAAGATACAGGGGATTTTGAAAGGATTTTATATGAATGTAGTAAAAACTTGACAGTACTCATAAAAATTACTTTTTTGGACTACAGCTGCCAGAGTCCCCCAACCAGCATGGCCTGTAGGATTCTAGGACTTGAGTGCCAAACAGTCACTTTTCCATTGTCTGTTCATATCTGGGTCTGCATACACCCAGTGTGGTGTAGTGCATACAGTAATAGACTAGGACTCAGGAGACATGGGTTTGATTCTCTGGCTTTCCCATGAAGCTCACTGGAGTGTGTGGAACTGGTAAAACCACTCTTGAAATACCTCACTTACCTTGAAAACCCTATCAGGATCACTATAAGTCAGTTCTGACTTATCAGCACATAACAACAAATGCTTGCTATCTCTTGCCTGGGATCTGCATTTTTGCACCACTGCAAAGCCATGTGCAGAATTATCCATGATTTCTGTGTTGTAGTCTGTGGACACAGATGGATCCTGTAATTGGACAGTGGTTGGGGCAGAATCCTACATAAAAATCATGTGGATCCATGACAATCTGTCCCTTCGATCCATGTTTTTGTGCCACTGCTAAGTCATACACTGAAGGACTCATGATTTCCGTGGTGTAGTCTGTGGGCATGAGATTTAAGATTTGGTGAGGATCCCACAAAGAAATCATATGAAATCATAAGGTTACATTCTTGATTACATGGATCTACCTTTTACTCAGACCCACAAAATAACTCCCTTTCAGGAGATCTGTCACTCCATTGCTTTCTATAAAGCAACCCCTTTTTTTAACTCAAGAAAATCTGTCTTCAGTGTGTTTATGTGGCATTTCTCTCTAAGCATCTTCCTCCTAATTAGAGATGGGGGTATTCGCAGGGCTTGAAAAATGCACTCGTCCACTTGTCTGTGATGAGTGAAAAATTCTGCACGAGTCACAGCTCCCTCCCTCCCTGCCTCCTTCCCCTACGACTGTCTCTCTCTCTCTCTCTCTCTCTCTCTCAATAATCCTGCAATCCTCCCCTCCCTCTCCCATTGCAAAAGGAAAACTGCCCTCTTCTCGCAGTAAGAGAGTTCAAGCAGCACATAGAGATATAGCTCTGCAGGAGAATGTAGAGTAGTCCCATGCTGGAGAATATGGAGATTCCCTGCTCCCAATTTCAACCGAATGAGGACACATCCTGGGGTGGGAGGGAACTGTGGCTCCTTAAGAGGCCGGGTGCTTTTGCTTTCAATTTTATTTTTGCTGGAGACATTCAAAAGAAAGGCATTCAAAACACAAGCTTCATGACCCAACAGGCACGCAGGTAATAAAACAGCCCAAGTCTCAGGGTATAAATCAGGGATTCCCAATCGTAATAAATTGCAAGGCTATAGTCCAGTTATGCTGTCTGGTGAAATGTTTGACTGACTGGTGAGACATTCTAAAAAATTTCAGGCCCTGGGTATTCGTATTTGTAGATGGATACAAATATCTCCCCCGCAGGTGGAAATAATGTCCACTCATAATTTGGCAGCTGCTGCAGGCACAACAGTGCCTCCCTATTGCGCTGTGCTCCGCAATGGATTAGCCACTCCTGGCTGGAGGCGGGATGACAAGCCTCTGTGCCAAGCCGCAGAGTGGCTAATCTATTGCAGAGCACAGTGGACCCCTGTTATTTCCACCTGCGGGGGGATATTCATATTCATCTATAAATACCCCCATCTCTACTACTAATATATAAAATATTTCATTTCCTCTTGTTGGCTAGACCAGGGTCCCCAACCCCCAGTCTGCGGCCCATGCCGGTCCATGGCCTTGGCAGGACCGGGCCATGGAAACAGATCTCCCGCTCCCCGCACATACTTCCCCCACGCACGCCAACCCCACCCACCCACCTGAGTCTCCTGCTCAACCATGAGGGCAGCCCACCCACCTGACAGCATGTCCCTCCCACCCGCACATGAGCGAGTGTGCACTCCACCCACCCACAATCACACACCGCCTCCCCGCGCATGTACCCACCCCCCTACCGGTCCACAGTTCGGAAAAGGTTGGGGACCACTGGGCTAGACTGTACCACACATGCTGGGTCTTATAACAAAGTGGCAGTTATCCCTTTTGAAAGGCCTGTTTAAAAAAGATATTTCAGCCCCTGCAGCTTGAATGCTTTCCAAATAAAATAAAGAAGGCTGGGGCATCCATTCTCTTTCAAGATAAGCAAGGTCCGTCTTTTCAATTTATGTGATCTATTTTAAACCTGGGAACACTTAGGGTCCCTTATTTCTAAATCGGGGAGAGGGTGTAAAGCAGTTTTACATTTTTTTTTAAAAAAAAGTATCTCGAAAAACCTTTGCCCATAACAATCTGTGCCTCCAATCCATGTTTTCCCAAATTCCGCACAGCGCAAGAGCTGACTGTCCTCTACAACTGTGCCCAATTTGGTGCCGATCTGAATCCCAGTTGAAAAGTTACACATTTTTGTATTGGGCTGACCCTGTTTTTAGCATTGCCTTATAGTAGAAGGTTGATTTGCTCTGCGAGCACAACATCGTTCCCGCACTCTTGTGCAGCAATAAGAAAGGCAAAGGAACCACGGAGGGGAGGCGGAGAAGCGTGGGAGGGACTGGGGAGGAAAAAAAATGTATCCCCACCGACAACCAGCAGTTCCCGTACTCCCTATTGGGCCTTCCCTGCCCAGCCCCACCATCACGCCCCCCTCGCCCGCTTCCTCCGCGGTCCTTCGAGATGCGGGCCGGCTGCCAGGCAGCCAAACATCCGC